TTTATGTAAAAGAACATATCCCCGGCATCCCTTTAGATGTACCTGCAACCAATCAGAAGAGTGCACGGTTGAAGTCCGCAGCACCCAGTGGCTAGCAGGGAGAAGCAGGCACATCTAAAGGGATCACAGAGATGTGTTCTTTCATAGAATTCTTAACAGAGACAGATAGCTGTGACTTTTAGCTGGAATTAGTGTTATGATCTGGAGTTGCTTCAGTTGGTCAGGTCTGGGTTCAGCTTGTGCCCACAAAATGAGGTCAGCTGCCCACCTGAATATACTGAATGGCCAGGTATTTCCATCAATCGATTTTTAATTCCCTGATGGCACATTGGGCATATTCCAATATGACAATGCCAGGATTCATCGGGCTCAGATTGTGAAAGAGTGGTTCAGGGAGCATGAGACATCATTGTCACACATGGATTGGCCACCACAGAGACCAGACCTTAACCTCATTGAGAACCTTTGGGATGTGCTGGAGAAGACTTCAAGATGACAATGGCAGGATTCATCAGGCTCAAATTGTGAAAGAGTGGCTCAGGGAGCATGAAATGTAATTTTTACACATGGATTGGCCATCCAGACCTTAACCCTTAACTGAGAATCTTTGGAATGTGCTGGAGAAGACTTCACACATTAGCTAAGCAAATAGAGCCTTCTATTGGATATTGATTTAGGGTTCCTTCAGTTGGTTAGGTCTAGGTTCAGCAACGTTATTTCCCCAAAAATGAGGTCAGCTGCCTGACTAAATATACTGAATGACCAGGCTTTTCCATAAATGGATTATTTCTTCCCTGATGGCACATTGGGCATATTCCAAGAAGACAATCCCAGGATTCACTGGGCTCAGATTGTGAAAGAGAGGTTCAGGGAGCATGAGACATAATTGTCACACATGGATTGGCCACCACAGTGTCCAGACCTTAATCTCATTGAGAATCTTTGGGATTTGCTGGAGAAGACTACGCAATGGTCCGACTCTCCCATCATCACTACAAGATCTTGGTGAGAAATAAATGCAACTCTGGATCGAAATAAATGTTGTGAAATTGCATAAGCTTATAGAAACAATGCCACGACGAATGCGTGCCGTAATCAAAGCTAAAGGCGGTCCAAAGAAATATTAGATTGGGGTTTTTTTTTTGGCCAGGCAGGGTACAGGTACACTAAAATTAAGCCTTAACCTCTCGAAATTTCACAATCACCTCCACCGGATTTCACATGATCAAAGTGAAGATGAAAATGATGGCCTATGTTGGAGCTCTTTGGTCACTACAGTAAACTATCACTCGAAATAGTGTTTGTACTGGCCTCCCTTCAAATGATTTTGACTCAAAGGAAGTGTTATTTGGACCAATCAATCGAAGCACAAAACATGTTTTCACAGTAACAATTATCAGCTTCCAATCAACTGATTGGACGAGATCATATGCATGTCGGCATATTTGTCATCTGCATTTTTAAGTGATTGGACTGAAAGGTTTATAAGTTGAAATATCTTTCTGTTTATGGCCTATAGCATTATAAAGCGCTTTTGATTTGCCTACCCAGCGATGCATCAGGGATCTCCGCTCTCTTCCCAGGTCCACACCACCCTAACTAATCCTACAAAGCATAAAAGAAAAAGGTTTCTAACACAAAGCTGGCTGGAAGTAACATTTGATCCCTCTCGTATTAATCAGCCGGCGGAGAATTGGAACACGCGCAGGAAACTGATCTAACTTCAGTAAACTGAAATGTGACTGCTACGGATAACTGCACTCAGCACATTCTCATTAATCTCTCTGCCCGGCTTTACAAAAGGAAAACTCTAATTTTTATACCATTTCTTATACGGTTACATTTTTCAGAATGGCTTCGCTGTAGCATTCTCCTCTTTCCTCCAACAATGTATACAACTGCCTATCTCTTGTTAGGATTTTTTTCAATCCTCCTTTTCAAAGTGCCATAGCGTATTGCTTCATTAACTGTCAAGTGTGCAGATACTCTTTAGTACTGAAAGATCCATAGACAGACTCCTAAATCTTGTGGACGCCTTCCCAGAAGAGTTGAAGCTGTTATAGTTGCAAAGGGCGGAGCCAACTCAATCTTGAACCCTACGGGCTAAGACTGGGACACCATTAAAGTTTATGTGCGTGTAAAGGCCGGCGTCCCAATACTTTTGGCAATATAGTGTGTGTGTGTGTGTGTGTGTGTGTGTGTGTGTGTGTGTGTGTATTTTTTGTCTCTAATTTTTTTTTCTTTTTACATTTACGGGCAGACCAAACTTTCCCGCAAAAGTGACAGGTCAATCCCTGGTATGAGGGATAATTTGTCCTCCCTATCCTACCTCCCAGGATGCAGGACTCAGGTATGAGTAGACAATCTCCACAAGAGTTCCATAAGTTCCATAAGAGCTCCATAAGTTCCAACACATTCTGACATACAGCTTACATAAGGTTTGGACTCCTGGCTCCCAC